TCCTTAATTATCCCTAAGAAAAATACACAGCAAAAACTACATAAAAACACCTAATGAATATTAATTGTATCAGTAACATGGATTAAAATTTCAAAGACTGCACCTGAAATAAAGTTGGCAGAAATCATTGTTCAAAAACACCTAATGAGTATCTTAAAAGAAGAGAAACTACATTGCTCTAGAATAATCTAATAAATTTAACATGTTGATTAATAAAAGGAAAAYTGAATATAAAACATTAAATAAAGATGCAACTCAAATATATTTCATGATTAACTGAAATTAAGTGTTTTTATTTTCTTTTAAGATGTGAAAATAATGTTACCTAAATTCAATTTTATTCCTGCTATACTCATAAGTAAAATGAAGTCAAAAGCCATGAGATTTATTCATCATAACTACCATTTCTTGAAAAGATACGTTTATCATGTAAATATCCTGTGTTCTTCACAAGGGTCTGACAGATTTTCTTCTTAGAAGACAGGAGAGTAATGTATCACGTTAGAAAAAGTAGAGAAATGGAGGGAGAGAGAAAAAAAGAATGAACAAGAGTACTTGTTCAAGAATGAGAACTTGCGAGCTGGGGATGTACTTCAGTGTCAAGAATACACATCTAGATGCACAAGGTCCTGATCAATCACCCTCTCCCTCACACACAAATAAAAAGATAAGACAGGAAAGGACATGCATTTCTACAGTTTAGGGTAGAGAATAACATAGAATAAACCTTGGCTGAGTATAACTACAAACTCGTGGATATAGATGGTTAATTAATGCAGGGAATCATCATCACAGAATATAAAATTTTACCTATCTCTTCTTATTTTCAAACTTTATGTCTACCAAAAATTAAAATGTCTTATTCAGGTAGAAGGGGAAAATAATAGATATTATCTAACAAAATCTAAGCTAGCAATGACAATACAAACATTACAATATTTCCTATTTCAAGTGATAATTTTATTCATGGCACAAAAAATGCCACAGAAGCTTAGAAAAGAAAGCATTAATTTCACTTATGGACCCTGAAAGAACATTCAGTGATTAATTATAACATTGGAGAGAGAAAAAAAGAAAAAGAATCTATGTAGATGAAAGAGTTGCACAAAAACAAGGAAATGTGACAGTGCAAAACTTTGTTTACCTGGTTAAGGAAGGTCTTCTATAGCAAGAAGATAGAGACTATTTGAGTCTAGAAAGGCTAGTTATAACCAAATTCTGACAGATACTGAATGTTTTTCTATTATACATCAAAGGTTTTTAGATTTTGACTGGCAAAAATTTTATTTTGCCAAGTAACAATATTTAAAAAACAAACAACCTAAAAATCTTCCATTTGCTATCCTTTCATAAGGAGATGTCATTCTAACATTGCAGGGAAGGACTTGAAAATTATATCTACATAGCTTTAAAACTATATGTACTAAAATTCTTTGTGTACTGAAATGTTATAAAACTGTATTTGGCTAATTCAAAATGAACATAAAATATCAAATTCCAAAATTTCAGTTCTAGCATAATAACTCCTCTAAAAATTCATTCATCTTTCTGAACTGATTATCAGTGGGGGCATGTTTTTATTTCTCTGTCAACTTAATTCAGAATATTTGAGGTATACTTTGAGAAGCCCAAGAAAAATGGTTCTCAATTACTCAGAAATTTCTTCTACCTTCTCTCTGTACTGATGAGTAAAAATTAAGTAGAAAAAGCTCAACTGTTCAACCATGGAAAATACTGGAAAGTAGGCAATACATGGGGATCATGCCTGACCAACATAGAATAGTTGAAAAGTTATATGAGAGTAATTCCTTAAAACCTAAAATTATCACAACAGTCACTTAACAGCCAGTAATGTTAGCCTTAAATCTTAACCTAATTTCATCTCTATTTTGGTTACTAGAAAACCTAGTGTAGTTTTCATAATAGTATAGGACCCATTACTAACATTACTACATTATTAACTTTATTCCTTGCTTCATTTATTTTATCTTTGACCAGTTATGACTTTTTATAAATTTTAGGAAAAATATACATAAAAATACAATGCACAAAAGGCCTGTACAGGGAATGAAGAAACATTTCAGATTTTTAAAAGTAATGCTTATTTATTTTTTTAATTATAAAAGTAACACATTACACAAAAACATGAAAATATAAATAACTGGCGTTCTTGCTTCTCAATAGCATATAACCATAAGAAAATCAAAAGAATTTTAAAAAAGAAAAATAGGCCATCAAAAAAAAAACCAGCGATAACTTTGGTATTCTTTGGAATCCATAACTAGGATTCCTCCAATTATAACTAGATTGATATTTATGCTATCTTGGAAGATATAAAACATAGCTTAATATTAATAGTATTTGGATAATCAGCCTCCAAATTAATATTATTTTCATAAATTATTAATTCTCACCAGGTAATTATAAATACTGAAGTTTTTTTATTGGTTGTTCACAACATTACAAAGCTCTTGACATATCATATTTCATACATTAGATTCAAGTGGGTTATGGACTCCCAATTTTAGCCAAAATGCAGATTGCAGAATCACATCGGTTACACATCCACAATTTTACATAAAGCCCTATTAGTAAYTGTTGTATTCTGCTACCTTTCCTATCCCCTACTATCCCCCCTCCCCTTCCCTCMCATCTTCTCTTTCTACCCCATCTACTGTAATTCATTTCTCTCCTTGTTTATTTTCCCATTCCCCTCACAACCTCTTATATGTWATTTTGTATARCAATGAGGGTCTCCCTYCATTTCCATGCARTTTCCCTTTTCTCTCCCTTTCCCTCCCAYCTCATGTCTCTGTTTAAWGTTAATCTTTTCTTCCTGCTCTTCCTCCCTRCTCTGTTCWTAGTTGCTCTCATTATATCAAAGAAGACATTTGGTATTTGTTTTTTAGAGATTGGCTAGCTTCACTAAGCATAATCTGCTCTAGTGCCATCCATTTCCCTGCAAATTCCATGATTTTGTCATTTTTTAGTGCTGCGTAATATTCCATGGTGTATAAATGCTACATTTTTTTTTATCCATTCATCTATTGAAGGGCATCTGGGTTGGTTCCACAGTCTAGCTATAGTGAATTGTGCTGCTATGAACATCGATGTTAAGGAGAAAGATTTTTAAAAATTGGATTTTTACCTAAAACATTTACATTGTGTTATTAATTATAAAATAAATAAATTTAGGAGAAAAAGCTATTTGAAAGAAACAAATGAGCAAATTTTAAATAAAGTGAGTTTGAGGCCTCAATGTGATGGAAAATGCCCATGCCAGGCAGCTCAAAATCTGTCTAGAATTCAAAAGACACAGAGTTTAACTGTTACAGGAATTAAGTAGAAATAGGAAAAATATTAACCTTTCAAAATGTGTAAATATGAGTGAGAGGCATTTAGGAGCAGGTAGGATTAAGAGTAGGTATATACAACCATTTCTGATCCAGGTTTTAGATGGGTATATGCCCTCAAAAGTGATTATGATTAGCAAGTCATTTAGTCTCAATTCCTACTATACTTGCATATTTTTTCATTATAACAAGTAACCTTGAATTCTAATTCTTGGTTTTTATGATTTTTTGTCCATGAGACTAGATAAATTCCTTTGAGGTAATTATCAATGTCTTTTAAATCCTAGCACCAAGGATGCAAACATTTCCTCTTCTATTCTGAATGAATAAACAAAAGTATAATTTTGTACAATCATTAAGATAAGTCTAGAACAAAGGTATTTGAATTATAGGCACAATCTGTGACCAAGAAGTAGTTTTTAAGTTTCTAAGAACCTTTAAAGTTTGTTTTGGAACATTTTCTATTATACTTCCTAGGTAGAAGTGATAATAATAATGGTGACCGCATCAGTATCTAGTGACATTTCCACTCTTCTCAAAACTCAACAGCTTTCTCATACCACACAAGATAAAGCTGAAGACTCCTTTTCTCTCCTGGCCTAATATCCAGCTATGTTCCTTTTGATTCACTTTGCTCAAGCCACACAAAACTGTAATTTTTTCATTTTTCCAATTTTTCAATCCTGCCACTGTATGCCATATGCATTTTATAATTCTGGTTTTATAAGAACACTGGAATGCTCACATGAAGTCCATTTCATAGAAAGGAAATTAAGATTCAGAGTGGCTCCATAACTCACAAAGGCCATAGAGCAAAGTATTGGAATAGGATTCAAACTGATGGGATTCCAGAGGCTTAGTTACTATTATGGTCTTCCCAAGCAGTGGAGAGAATAACAGAATAGGCACAGGAAAATAAAGTGAACAGGAAGTAAAAAGCAAAAACAATATACAGGGCTGGTAAATCCATGAACCACCTAAAATGGCAGCTAATACCACTAACCACCCATAGGATCATACTGATAGTGATTACCCCTTTCTGAAGTTTAGAAATAGCCATAAAATAAAGACTTTCTAAAAGAAATAATACTTCAGTTATTTTCTCTCAGTACCGCTATATAAATTAAATCATCATCACAGTGAATTTATCTTTTTTGTCTCCTCATTCTACTTACGCTGCTGTTGGGAAGAAAACGATAGCTTCATAATTCCAGTTTGTTATTTCTCCACATTTTTAATGCCTTCTTAATTAAGGATTCTTACATTACAAATGCTATATGAGTAAGAAATTTCACTTACAGAAGCATTTCTCAGAAATTTTASAGAATATTGTTTAATAAACATGATATTATAATACTAAATACATAGTCGTTCTGATAAGACTGGAATTAGAAGAGTCAGAGTTTCCCATTCAAACACCTTTTCAAAGTTCTTCACTTTCAAAATCTACCACTGGCTTTGTGCAAAATTCCACTGAAAAAAATGAGTAATGAGAAGGCATATATCAAAAATCTTATTAAAAGTTGTGGACATAATGTCTTTTCATTCCTTTGGCAATATCTACTCCTGTAGAATCACAATTTATGCCATGATTAATAGATACATTACAGGAAACTAAAATAATGAGAATAGAGAGAGAAATCATACCTTCTATCAATAGCTCTTGTCCATGACTGCCAAGAAGTGTACGAGATAGGAATGGGGCAAAGTCTACAAAAATTTCACGAAGAAGAGGAGCAACTTTTTCTAAAGCTCTTTCAAGTTTTGCAGTGATGCTGTTAAAATTAAGACATAAAAACTAATAAATATAATTCAATATAAAATGTCGAATAAACTTTACTTCTAAATTAAAATCTTTAAAAACCATAAAAATCCAATTCTAGCCCAAGGAATAACAAGCTTCATRTAGAAGGGACACTACAGTTTCACATACAGTCACAGGCTACTCATAGATTGCAGCTGAAGTAGAAAAGAATCAGAGTTCTGCTACCTGCAAGGGCCAAAGACTGCTCATAGCACTAGGAGTATCAGGAAAATGAGTTCTTATATATCCTGTCTATCCATTGAAAAAAATGGTTCAGAACACGTCCTATGTGGTCATTATGCCAGTTACAAAGAATTTAACTGTTGCTTTCAAGAAGGTATTACCTGAAAAGCTTGAAAGCTAAGGAAGTAACTGGAATTCAGTTGACTTACTTACCCAAAGTGGGCAATTCCCACTTCAAAATTCCACTTATTTTTATCAATCCCTTAATTAATATTTATATTGTAGACTACTGAGTTAATGTCCTTATTTAGGTACTATATGGAATTCTTGAAAATATTTTGAATGTTACAAGAAAAAAAATAGATGAAGAAAATATTACTGCTTTGGCAAGTGAATAACTTGGTAACAGATATCTCTCTCTCTCTCTCTCTCTCTCTCTCTCTCTCTCTCTCTCTCTCTCTGCATGTGCTTTAGAGTAAAACTGCATGGACTGAAATTCTAGCTCTGCTGTATGTTAGCTAGGTGACCATGGGAATATCAGACTTCCTATGTTTGCAAAATGAAGATGATCACAGCACCTAAACAGTAGGGATCAAATAAGCTAAAGTGTGTTAGACTGCATTCAAAAGTACCTGGCACAGAGTGAGAGGACATATAATATGTTAAGGTTTTTATAACTGATAATTTGAATTAAGCACACCCATATTTATTCTAGCAAGATGTGACTCTGATATAATAAACAAAATCAATGTAATAATAATATTAGATAAACACACCTTCTACAAAGACAAGTACAGTAAAAAATTAATGCTTCAAAATAATACATTTCTGTCTAGATAACATTTTTATTTCTGTGAGGAAAAGCTTATGGATTAAAAAAAAGGTAAATAACCATGGAATAATTTGCAATCTATTACTCTGGCATTTCTTTTATTTTTAAGTGACTACATAGGGACTAAGGGATAATCTAGGATGCCTACTTTCCTAACTTGGAAATGGCATGTGTTGAATCTTTGGACACTCAAAGTCTCACCATTAGCACTTCTATTTCTTTTCGCCTCTTATCTGGTCAACACCTTTAGAGAAATGAGCAAAGATGGAAAAAAAAAAAMCATACACTTGGAAAGAATATTTTGGAAGGACAACTTTGGGCAAGAAAGTGACTTGAATGGGACTTGGCAGACTTGATGAAGACATGAGTTTTCAATATTCCCTGTCTACTATTCTTACTAAAGCTAGCATCTGGGTTAAGAGTTGGTATAAATCAGAATCACCCAGAGGGTCCGTTGAAAAAGACCACCAGGCCCACCCAGATTCTGATTTAGCACATCTAGATGTAACATGAGAAAGTGCATTTCCAGCAAATTCTCAGGTAGTGGTACTGCTGAATCTCTCTCTCTATTTTTTTAACTTTTTGTAATTGTAGATGAACATCAGGCCTTTATTATGTTCATTTGTTTTTATGTGGTGCTAAGTATTGAACCCAGTGTGTCACACATGCTAGGCAAGCCCTAAAATAACTGTTCTAACAGAGTATTTGCTGTTAATAAGTATTAATGTAAAGGTTACAAAAAAAAAAACAGGCAACTTGAAGGCATAGAATAATCATATTGTAGTAAATTTCCTCTGACTTTTGTTGAATAAAAATGGAGATTCTGTTTTGGATATATTACTTCATATATTTCTTCTAATCTCCAGGAATATGTTCTACACTACACAGATAAACTAATTCCATCTACTAAACAATAATAAGAACCAAAAGAGTATGTGAAAAGCAGACAAATCTAGATAATTATTATGTGTTTCTAAAACTTAACTCTTACTCCAGCATTTTTTTAAGATAAGTAAGTAAGAGTAAAATTACTTTAGAAAATTCTGGATTCAAGGTGGTTCACAAAAACTATAGTACTGGGTTCAATATTCTATTATCAAATAAAGGCTCAGATTTTTTTTTTCCTAGTTTAAAACATTTTTTCCTATTTTAAAGGTTCTAAGTGATTTGGAGGCTTCGGAACTGCAAAATTACTATGCTTAGTGATTAAATTAAATATAAAATAAAAACTTGAATTAATCTGAGTAACTGTTCATTTTGGTGTGTATGAATATGTAAGTATAAAATTGCTTTGACTTCAGGGAATAGATAACACATTTTTCTGTGAGTAAAACCCTATGATAATTTTTTGTTGATATTTTCTCATACAGTTTAACAGAATGTTAAATGTTGGGCTTACATATAATTATGMAATGAAAATTTTAATTTTCTGATAGAGGAGAAAATATGTAATATTTTACTCAGCAAGAGAACAAAGATTTTAAGTACAGATAATCATTATCAAATAATACTGCTAGATTTCTCCATCAAACAACAAAATATTTTAAATGAAAAAGTTGCACTATCAGAAACTGATCGTTTGTTGTTTGTGTTAATATTTGCAGATTTCACCTAATGATTTCAAAAGTTTGATTTACAACAAACTTTTCATAAAAAGTTTATAATCTTTACCCTTATGCAATTTAAATTATGAAAATAAATAATATAGACATGAACTTCAGCTTAAAGACTTCCTCCTAGTAAATAAAGATTATCTACCATGCTAAAAAAAAAGACATGTTGTTGTTATTTCATTCCTCTTCTCAGACGAAAAAATGTAAAACTCCATTTTTGAAGACCATGACATATATTAGAAAATTATCTCTTAACATGTAAAACACAAATTAAAAACTATATTTCTATGGGAGAACTCCATGGCATTAAGTCCTAGAAAAATAAATGTATATCTCTCTAAAACAAAAACAAACAAAACACAAATAAAAAGAAAGGAACAGGGCTAGAATAATTCTGTGGTAGAGTGCTTGCCTAGCAAACATAAAGCCCTGCATTCTATCCCCAGCACTGACAAAATAAATAAATTAATTAATTTTTAAAAAGTAACATATAACAAACAGAAAAAAGACCAAAGTATTCTTTAGCCAGTTATTTTTGAAAGAAATATAAATATGTTTTACTCATTTTAGGGAAAATACCAAATAGTAAATTTTCATTTTTCTTTGAAAATTTATTCTCATTTATTCAAAGACACTCTTTGCAAAGAAATAATAGCAAGATGCCCAAATGGGGGAATCTGCCCTAACAGTATTTGAGTGAATTTGAATGTGTTCCTCAGTACTTGAGACATTTCTTGGCCTTAAGTACAGAACTTATAAGTCCAGGCTGAAATGCCTACTTCTTAAGCCTCTTATTCCACTATCCTCACTCTACTTTTTAAAAATCTCTTTCAGTCACACTACTGAAGGTTAGGATGTTTGCTTGGTGACTGTTTTGACCTGGGCTACTTTTCTGTGTAGCAAGTGTACTCTTTCAAGAAAGAACATTACTGATTCCAAGAAGAAGATTCCTCTTTGAATTTTGAGAAATATATCAATCACACTAAGAAAACTACCAATTTGAAAAAAAWAAAAAACAAAGGAAATAATGATGTTTTAAGATTAAATTCTACAGCTTTAATGCATGGATTAAAAACAATATAACTGAATAGAGCTTATTATTACAGTGTTTGAAACACACAATTATGTAATGGTTATTATCTGTATTGTTTTATCTACACAATTAATTAAATAATTTTGTCTTCACAATTAAAAAAAATTAAAACCAATATYACTGCAATTTTGCCATGAAATAAAAAGGAAGGGCATAGTCCCCAATTCATTCTATAAAACTAGCATCACACTGATATCAAAACCAAACAAAATACACATTAAGGAAAGAAAACTACAGACTAATATCCTCAGTGAACATAGACATAAAAATTCTTAAGAAATATGAGCAATACACACTCAATATTACATTAAGAGGATTCTACACCATGACCAACTGGATTTTACCCTGTGTATGCAAGGTTGGTTCAATACATCCAACTCAATAAATATAATTCACCACATAAGTAAAATTAAGGAAAAGAATCACATGATCATCTCAATAGACACCGAAAATGCTTTTCACAAAATTCACATTAAAAACACTGAAGATACAAGAGATAACAAGCTAACMTCATCATTATAAAAGCTACATATGACAAATCAAAAGTCAATATCATGGTGAACACAATATTTCCTCAATAATTAGGAATAAGGCAAGGATGTCCACTCTCACCCATCCTAGTCAAAATAATCCTTGAAACTCTAGCCAGAGCAACCAGGCAAAATAAGAAAATTAAATGAAAATAATAAGTCATACTATTGCCATCATATTGTTTACCATCAAGAGGGCTCATAAACTCAGCAAAAGTAGCAGGATACATGTTCAATACACAAAAATCAATAGTTTCTTATACTCCAATAATGAATCTGCTGAAAAAGAAATCAAGAAAACTACTCCAGGGCTGCGGATGTGGCTCAAGC